CCCTGTGAGATGTATGTAATGGCATCTTCACTGATCTCATGTTTTGGACTAAATCTAACACTGGAAGACTGCTACGTATTTCATAACGACATCCTTTGAATGCCTTGTCTTAATATGCAAAAATTAAGATAATGAAGCATTGAGTTTATCTGGCATCTTTCTTTAGATACCAGTCTATTTCCATATAATAACAGTACCCACTTTATTAACTGTTAGATAAATAACCAAACCTTTTGAGTTCCATCTTATCAAATATGTAACAAAGAAAATCTGTATGTTGAGGCAAGTTGAATAAAAAAATGTGTCCAGTTAGGCACGTATTTTGTATAACGTACTGTACTGTCCCGTGCTCGTCTGGTAGATAGGCGTGGGAACGGACATAGATGTAACTGTAGAGACGCCAGGACTCTCCTCATCTCCTTTTCTATCGCGTGTATCTTCAGAAGAAAGATCTTTCAAAATTTTTCTATAAAAAAAAGAGTTTTTATCAGCTCTAATAATAGGCAAACCCTACAAATTACTGCAACGACAGTTACAAACTACTATCCCTATTTTGTATTATAGAAATAAACGCTAAAGTTTTGATGTACAACAGCTGCTGGAATTAACAGACTTTTGTATGAGGTGACTGCCTCAAACTCCTTCTGTAATTACATTTCTGTAGTTTATATAGCCTGGTCTTTTCATTAAATACTTGAATCATTTTACGAGCTAAAAGCAATTCAAGTCAGCTACTGATTTATAAAGTATGTGTATGTGCAAATCAGCACGAATTCCAGATTTTCAATCATTATCCTCTAAAAGCCTTAGATGTTCGGACTGGTAAGCCTGCAGTGAAAACCCGCACCATCTACAGTAGATTTCAGTAATCTCCAGAAAACCGGTGCGCTAAAAACTAGCACTGCAGCTGCATCATTTCCTTTCCCTAAAAGCTGCATCAGAGTTTCCACCATAAACATTTTCCAGGGATAACTGGCCTATTAAGAGATTTTTCTGATTTACAACTCGATCCTCTAATTCTCCCAAGAATAGGCTTTGTATATCCAATTAAAACCGGTTTGCTCTGTCTGGTGTCAGAATAAACTAAAAAGGAGTAGATTATGACAGAAAAGTTTAAAAATTTTGCTCTTTCAGTACACAGTAAGACTTTACGTTTCTTTTCTGCATTTAATTTAGCTCTTGCACAGCTTCTCAAACAACCCATGTCCTATGTAACAATACCCTATGAAAACAGACACATCTCTATTTAAAAGAGCCAAAGGAAGCCTGAATTTTATGCATCTCCCCCCAGGCCAAATGAGGACTTAGTGGCAGTTGTATGAAGAGAAAAGCAGAACTGACAACTCCTGATCCCAAACCCGCCAGGCTAAACAGCTCTCCCACCGAAGCAATGCTTACAGCTCGTATTTTCCTATCCTGGCTACTTTAACTGAAGAGCCAGAATTGCTCTTTTCCAGCACGGTTTTTGACTGCATGCAAAATAATAAAATCCCTCCTAAATTATTTGTTCTGGTACATAACTCAAGATGAGATAAAGCCATCAGAAAGTACTAAGAAGAGTGGCTAAAACATTAAAAAAATGAAAAGCAGCGGCAGAAGCGGGAACAATAATCACAGACACGAGTATCAGGTAGGTTCATAAACTGTTTAAATTTTTCAGAGCGTTATTGTAAAAAATATTAAATTCTGTGTTGTTTCTAACAAATTTATTATTTGAAAAGCTAGCATGTGGCATTTGACTGCACTCCTCATTTCAGTAAAATGATATAACTGAGTAAAATTACAGCTGATCAACAATTTTCCCTATGCCACATCACGCTGAAGCTGATCTCCAGTTAAGTCAAAATTTCCTTGTAGCAAACGATAGCTAGCGTGGCATCCTCAAAATGTTTACTGCGTGAACAGATCCAATGTGTGTTCCGAGAGAAAGAAAACAACTTCGAGGTTGACAGAATATATGAAGCTATTGAAAGAAGTTGCTATTTCTGTTTCAAATAAACATACAAAATATATTACACACAGTACTTACCGGTAAGATGGACGACGAGCTAAGATGCCTCGAGCTTTCTGTGAAGAGCCTATGCTATCTGATGAATCCTGAGAATCTTCACTCTCAGACAAAGAAGATACCTAAAAAACACCATGCCATGTGGTTACCCGGTACGCTTCAGAAGAAACACTCAGAAGAGATCACACATTTTAATTGTATATGAGCTAAAGCTGCATGAAAACTACACAAATGCAAAAAAGAAAAGCTCAAGAGATTCTCCCAAACTATTTATCACATTAAAAGCTGAAAAACATCCACCCTCTGAAGCTAGCTGCTCTAGCTGGATTAAACTGCAGGACTGATCAATCCAGAAGTTTTAAAACAGCAGTGTGAAGAAATACAAATGTTTATTATTTTCATAAACCCCATACAAGCCTAACCATCTTATTAGCCGAAATGATGAGCCCCTCCCACACATAACTGTCTAAGGAGGTGGCGGGAAAAGAAACAGGAACACCATTTATGTACAGAGACGAAGATATAGAATACTTGAAATCTTTTATGCAGACAGAAGAGCAGTGTATTTTGTTGGTCAGACTTTAAGAGTCAAACGAAAATAATACTTCAGGCAGCAGCATATCAGGCAGTAAATACACAAAGTATTATCTATAATTTTCTCTTTATTCCACTGTGTCCTCATCCAGTTGGCAAGTGTTATTTTTTTCTCTGATGCTCCTTAGTAAATACAAGCCAACAAAACATTCATTTGTACTTATCTGTGTGCCAGCAACAAAAAGTCAAGAAAAATGCATACAGCTCTGGGAAAAGCATTTCTCACTTAACTGCTGCTACAGAGACAAAAAGAACAACCTACTATCAACATTTTAAAAAAGCTGCTCGTGCATTACTTCCCCCCCCCCCACCACCTTTGAGCAACAAGGCCATAATGTTCATAAATTACAGAAAAAAAGGAAAGACTACGGCCAGCAGGGACCCTGCAACTAGAACACGATGATAGGAAAGGGATTAGCAGAGGCTCAAGTAAAGACAACCTACTAAAACAGATGCTTAACTGTTTTCAGAAAGAGAAATGTGTTTTCTTTTCCATGATCTGATGTTACAGGACCAATGGTAGCTGAAAATGCATTATAGGTTTACTTTTCATGGTTTATCAATGTAATGTCGTATGAATAGATAAGCACAGTACAAAGGATCAGTGACAAATTAATTCTTTTCAGCCCAGTTCTTCCAGTCATTTGGCTGACTAGTGCAGTCATTTCACGGCGTGACTCCAACGCCATGCTGCCCAGAAGGCAGCCCAGAACTGAATGAAGTGGTAACAGACTCGACTGCAGACTCCCCACGGCACCTCTCAGAAGCGGCTCGTACAAAAATCACATGGCAAATGAATAAGAGACACCAGCAGAACACTTAGGTACCACCGAAACAGAGTTACAGCGTACGTGAGGTGAGCAATCAACAGTTCATCCACCATCACTCAGGTCTGCCTTTTCCAAACACACATTCTTCTGCATTGGGTTATTTTATACTCTCCTTATTTGGGTATTAAAACACACTGACTGCATGGCTGTTAACGAGCACCAACTAAAGGGTTGTGGTTTGATGGGGTTTTTTTGTTGTTTTTGTTTTTTTTTTTAAAAGCGAGGCAATGTCAAATAGTTCAATTTCAACTCCAAAGGCAACTTTTGCACTACAAATAATTTCAACATAAAGAACGATGTATCCCCAAAATACTGGGTTGCTCGTCATCTCGTACAGCAGGGCCGGAAAGGCCGCACTGGGACAGAGTCAGCCGCGTCAGACAAGCCTTCACACGTCTTTTCACGTACATACGACAGGATTCTTGGGGGTTGAACAGACGTTCTGTAGTTACCTGCACTGTTTGCACCTGGGGTGAGTGGATTACGGAAGAGGACTGAGCTGTCTGAATGACTCCCTGGACCTGGACTTGTTCTCCAGGAAGCTGAACAACTGTCAGGGGAGCAGGACCTCTTAGAGACATCTACAACAAATCAGAGAATCATTAACAAAAGCATTTGTTCTACAGTATTCAGAAAGTGTATAAACACGTAGGAAAAGTGGTGGAGAACATGCATTAGCAGAAGCTTCTTTTAAGTCTAATTAAGTCACAGGAGGTATCTTTTAAAGATACACATTTTTGAGATACGTATCTCCACACAAAAAAGGATGAAACAGTTACTTATTTGACTTAGGCTAGGGAAAAGATCAAATATGTAGCATTATCTGCAAAAGATTAAAATGCTGTAACTTAAACACATGCAGTTCTAAATGAACCTCAATGAAGCAGACTCCTTCAGAATCACACCACTGAGACTAACTGAGCACGACTGCTTTCGCGTAATTCCATCCACATGCACAGATAAAGCCCCACATTTGCGGCAGTTCATTTTTTTAAGCTTTGATTCCATTTTAAGAGTGCCTTAGACTTAGATAAGCAGAAATAAAAGTGCCTAATAAGTAGCCTTAATTCTCACTAAAGTTAATAGGAGTTTAGGGCACTAGAATCTAAATCAAGATGAAATGATCAACAAGACTCAGGGCTTAGGACAGATCAGACTAACAATACTGAAGTAATGCAGAAGGCAGCACTAATAATGCACAAATTTGGTGTTCTTGGATTTTTTTTTTTTTTAAGCAACCGATATGAGGCTATGGTTCAAAGATTTCACAGAGAAGAAATCACAAGAGTTAAGTATAGCAAAAGCTGACCAATCTACGTAGAAAGTTCAAGGCGCAAGGGCTGTATGAAAGGCACCAGACCAGAAAGAAAACTGAAGGAGACAAGGAATGCAAGCTCTGGACAAGGAAGAAGAACAAAGAGCAGATTTTTCCAAATAAAAATTACGGCATCTGTTCTTTAATGTTTTAAAAGGATCCATTTCAATGGATGTTGTAGCTGGAATCTAGGTTTACTTGGCAAAAAGTTAATTACTACTGCTACTCCTACATAAAATACTTTTTACATTCTAACAGATTTGTATTTTTGATGTTGAACTCGCATGAGCCTTTGCGCTTAAAAATTTATTAAAGTTATACATGTAGATGGCTAAGTAAATAACCGGTTTCCCCACCAAATTTCTTCACTACTTTTATTAATCTGGAATATATGAAAAGATGAAGGGATCATTAGAACTCAGCTAACTTTTCATTTAATACTACTCTCATACCGTACATCGTAATATTAAGTTACATTGGCAATCTTATATAAAAACAGATCAGAAAACCAGCCTGTAAGTAAACAACAGGATGCTTGCTGATATTCTGTCCTGTCTTTGCCTCATGCAGTTATCTAAATTTTGCATCAAAATCTACGCCGCCTCCATAGGGTAAACAGTGGACGAGCTGCAAAACTTCATTGTTTCACAGGACGGCTACGTGGCTGTGGTGGAAGACTTTACCTAGAAAGAGACGCCCTTCGGATGCAGAAAGCTGAATCATGAGGAATTCAGGATAAAGCTTTGAAAGTGATGTTACCTTGTACTAAATATGCCAAATTTCCAACTTCATATAATTTATTACATTAAATACATTCGTGTTGGGCTAAAATCCAAGTGTTTCCATGGTGCTGAGCACCCAGGATTGCCGTTACTACAAAAGGAGCTGTAAATGCTTTTTCTGAAGAAAGACAAGAAAATTAGGTCCTCGATTCATTACTAAGCAGCTCCTGTATGTGAGGTCGATGACGATTTTGAAGGATGTACAATCTGGCAAAAATGCTGGGCTGCATTTTTGCATTGTATGAGCAGGAAATTTAGTTGTGGTCTTTTGAATACAAGCCATTTTATTAATTTTCTGTCGTCCATCAACAAACAAGTACATTTTTCTCAACCTTCTTTTGTTTTTTCTTCTCTGTGTGTTCCTAAAACTCAAGAATGAATATAGTTTGTCGTACATAAAAAATGGCTCTTAACTACCTCAAATGTTTGCTGAGATTTGGCCCAGGCTTTACCTGTTGAGCAATATGAGAGAGCTGAGCTGCCTGTAGTGTTGTACCTTGTACAGCTGATGTTTGTGAAGGCGTCACTGAACTGTTACTGCTGCTCTTGTGCACCTCCTCCATAATCAACTACAAGAAAAGTAACGAGTTAAATTCAGTTAATGATAAATTTGAACAGCAGACAGGTGCCCAACTTCCACTGATACTTTAGAGAATCTCAGTGCATAATGCTTTTAGCCTTATTTGGACATTTTTAATTAGTTCTCTGTCCTTCAGTGTCACTTGCTATTATGGAATAGCACGGCATTTTTTGTCACTTCCCCTCCAATGCCCCGAGCATTGTTATGCCTTCTCACGGGGACAGGAGGGGAAAGCCAGGGTGGGAGCCTTTCCACGGACTCGCCCCGTAGGTGCGGGCAGCTCGAGCACAGCACCCGGCACGCCGCCCCTCGCGGCCTCGGAGCCCGGAGCAGCACCAGCCCCCGTTTCGGAACAGGAGACCAGTCCCGTTTCGCCCTGACAACACCTGCAGCCCAACCGTCGGTCAGCACCGGTTCAGACCTACCCCCCGCTGAAGTTTACTGTCAAATGTATTTACTGAACTTCCTGGCTTTTCGTGAAAAAAACAAGTCAAGTCATGAGATCTAGAAAGAAAACCACGATGAAGCATTTACACTAAAGAATATCTTGCTCTAAGTAAAATAATTTTCCAAAATATTCTACCCAAGCTACCAGCCAAACCTATTTTAAAGCATCTGAAGGTGTATAAAAACAAAACAGGGGTTCAAAATAAAAGTATAGAGAACACGGTTTTGAATTTTAAACCCTGCAAAAGTCACTCCGTCTCCATATAATACAGCCAGTAACACTTCTCTCATTTCTAAGGCTTTATATTTAACTGCTCAGCGTGTCTTGACAGCATCCCCCCTCCAATATTGGGGGAATTAGTGATGTAAAAATGCATGCTTTTACGTGGGGTGAGTGGGTGGACCAGCCTAGAGCATTAAAAGATGATCGGTGAGTGTTAAACATTTTGTCACAGAAGGTTTGAAACTGTTGAAAGGACAGTTGCTATGAGACTGGAAATTACATTTCTTTCTGTGGAAATGTGAGTCATTGATTTTTCCCTACTGAGATAAACCACAGCTCTTGCAGCCTGACGTATACTTAGAGGGTAAAAAGTCAATGTGCACCAGACCAGAATCTTGCTCTTGCAATCCTTGCTCATCTGAGGAGTCCCGCTGCCGAGCTCCTCCAATACGTTACTAAAACAGGACTTTGTGGAGAGAAAACCGATGGTTGGGCGATACATGAAACCGTATCCTTTACGGCACGGAACAAACGTTCTCTAATGTATGATAGAGCTTCCCAAGATACCTATGTCTATAAACATAAAACAATTCATCCATAGTTTAAGCTGAAGCAGCAAAGCGAAGGCTTCGCTCTGGAATAAAAAGCTCACGGGAGAAGGGCAGTGCTTCAGCTGTTCCCAGCTTCTGGAAACCTTCAGCTAATCAAAACTACCCCGGCCGCCTTTGCTAAGATTATCACGTCGCTGCTGCTGCTGCAACAGTGCTCTCCCCTCGTGTCGGCAGGAGTGTGAATCGGAGACGAGGATCCCGACTGACACCCTGCTCGACCTCACGCTGCTCGTGCCTGCAGGAAACCAGCCCGGGCGCAGGAGTGGAGCAAGGCAATTCGGAGATTTACTTTTTTCAGTTGCTACTGCTGCAGAGCTTGCCTGAAAGTCAGAAAGACTATTTGGGCTTTTTTTTTTTTTTTTTTCCCTTTTTTTAAATAAGGAAAGAAAATTGAGAATGGAAGTAATTTAAGTATCTTGAAGCTATAAAAAAAATGAAGAGCAGAATTAACGACAAGCATGTGTAAGGGATGCAACTTTATATACCCTCTAATGTAGTTTTAGGGTTTTTATAAAGAAAACTCTACATTTTGTACCCCTGCAAAGGGAGGCATACTAAGTGTCACAAGTAAACAGGGCACTGTCAAACTGAAATCCAGTCAACAGCAAAAATTAAAATAAATTTCCAGTGCTACAGAAATACCCAATTCATTTCTGTAGTGCTAAACCACATTCTGTCTCCCTCGCTCTCTCTTTTACTGTTTTTCTCTGCCTTATTGTCCCATGAAAGACTCACAACAGCAGCAAAATAGACTGCGAGAAACAATGAAACTGATAGACACAAACCCACCCAAAATAAACAAACCGGGGAGAAAGCACAAAGGGTTTTGCTGCTCTTTCTCTCATAGGTGTGAAGTCCTACTTACAGGAAAAAAAGATAAAGTATTTCCCATTATAAATATGATTTTTCAAGTTAACTTCATCTCTGCTCGCTCTGCAGTATTTAACTAAATAGACATCCAACATCCATGAATCTTAGTAAAACAATATTAATAAACAAAGATCTAGCAAGCCATTTTAACAAGGTGAAAATTACTGCATCTAATATCCTCCGCTGGAGAAAGGAGGCGCGATACGCTATCTGGCCTTGCACGACTGTCTCACAAGAAGATTCACATGCCTCTATCTTGTTCAAACAACTTATTCAGCTGGAAACCCCACGAATTTTCCATTGGAATGGCCTTCAGTGAACACTGAAACAGCGATTACCATCTATCGGCTTTTAGAAAGACAGTTCCAATGAAAAACCTCGACCTGCAAGTCCTCAAGCTTTGAAAAGAAGTACCAAAGATGGAAAATATATCAGGGTTTCAGCTTTTTACACCACGGTTAAAACAACTTCCACCAACGGAATATACCTTTAGCTGAAACCAGCTGCACTGTTTGGGGTGAAGGAAGAGTTTTACGTGTCACAGAGTACGGACAGGAGGGAATTCATAAAAGCAACACCCGATGTGTTATTAGCCAGAAAATACTGTTCCAATCTGTATGAAACCCATGTTTTTATAATCAGAAAGGTAAGGATGATGCTTTTCAGAATAAAAACAATGCCTCTGCGCAGCTACACCTCAAAAGTAATTTAATTTAAATGAAAGGATTCTGCAACAGCAGCATTACGAATTTTGTTTTGACAGACTTAAACTTCTGAGAATGGGCTCTCTCCAGCCAAAGAAACTCATCTCACTCTAAATGCGAGTTTGAGTCTCAGGCATATCTTCCTTTTGAGCTGAAACAGGAATGTTGCATTTCATTGTAGGGAAGTTTAATTTATTATCCCAAAGTTCGTAAGTACCTCCTAACACCGCGTCCCTTAGTTTGAACCACCACTCGAGAACCACTAAAAAAACCCATAAATGGCCGAGGAGTACCAATTAAAAAAGAACAAATAAACAAACAAGAAAAACCCATTCCCGCAACGCTCAATTTCAAAAATATCCTGAAATGCTAGAGAGACGGTCCCCTTGCAGACGTACTGTGCCTGTGCGGTAACGATCGCCACAAGATTTTGCTCTGAATCGCTCTCTACTTCAGCGTCCCATGAACAGCGGGCCGCTCTCTTGTCCCTGCTGTTTTGGTTTTGCCTGTTTACAACGCAGATTACCTGAGCGCGCAATTGTCTCTAGTGAAACGCTCATAAAATGACTAAAACCATGGATTCACCACCTCAGATGAAGCTTCAAAGCATAATCAGGAAGCAAAGAATAAGATAACGGAGTAGAAAAGCTGCACATCAAGGCAAGGAGAAGCAAGCTGTAGCACACGAGCACCAAAGGAAGAAACCAAGTTCTGGTTTGCCCTTTTAAATCTAGCAGAAGAAAGGCCTGAATGCTGTTTCAGTACTGACACGCTGTAAGAGGCAGTTGACTTTTTTAGAAGACTTTTATAAAGTCAGAAATCAAAGAATACCGGACACCGAATTTTATTCTCCAATACTAAGTGACAAGAGTCAAATACTGACATAGACAAATTACAGAAAGTGATTTTAAACGTTTGGTGAAATTATACTCAAGTAATCTGGTGAAATTTGGGATTCTTTAGTGTCTCAAAACAAGCTGTCTTCACCAGCTACAGCAGTTAAAACAGTATTTACTTAATTTTGCAATTAAGACACTCGGGGAAAGTTTTTTCATCCAAGACTGACAGAACTCCAGTTTTTTCCAGGAATCAGTGAAAGACAGAGGCAAAGGACAGCACATCCTACCAGTTCATGCCAGAAAGCAAGTGAGGAGACCTGAGTCAACGTACCCAGTCAGAGTTTTGGATCCCACTCTACACATACACACACGAACACTCCTTCAACTCCAGCAGTACTTTCCATATGCGTTTTCTTCCACTTCCCCCCCGCCCCAGCCTGCTACAGCGAAACGCGGCTTCGTGAGCACTGCCATGACGAGCAGCTTCGGGAATAAAAGCCTGCAGCCTAAAAACCTATGCGGTATATTGGCATCAGCGATCTCGATATTTGCGAGAGGAAAATATCAGTGAGATCATTTACAAACAATTTGCATCCAGCTGCCTTGAATCAACCCGATACTCGTTGCCGGGAGTGCTGGAGGCACGGCTCCCAAAAACGGTGCTCGGCCAAAATTAATGGCAAAAAAGGCAATCGCTGCCATCGGCAGGCGGCCGCT